GATACTGGCATAAACCAGAGTGATAGAAGCTCCTTCACAATGCTTAAACAAGACATGGACAAAAGACTTTTATTTAACATTCAAAGACTGATATTACAAACCTGATGTCAGAACTTCAGACTTTGGGCAAGAAATAGTTTCAAGGGACATTGAGTCCCAGGCAGGGAATACAGGAAAAAGGTTTAGAATTGTGAAAATGTTCATATCCCACACATTGTGAGAATATCTTATTGTCTTTTGATTGTATTGTAACTCACAATAATGTATGTTTATGATGAAATTGTTAATGTCCGTAACCTTGCTATATGTGTTATGCAAATGTTATTAGAAACTAGATGTCAGAGTACATTCTAACAGGAATGTAACATGTAATTTACAAGCCTTAGGATAGAAGTATGTTTTAGGGAGCAAACTTTACTAAGATCTGTATCAGAGGCAATAGAGGCATTCCCACGCAGATTTTAAAAGGGCGTTTTAACCTTTATATGTCTCCATTCCACAGGAGAACATTTGCAGCTGTGAAAGCTCAGGTGCTACTTCCTGGAGGATTCTTTATGATTCAGGAACACTTTAGGCTGGACAATGACCCATCACCCACTAACCTTATTTGTTTTACAGAGACTGGTTCCAGCCAGAGACGGGTATGATTTTCCTTGCCTTTCGGGAATCCTAAGACAGAACACGCATGACAGAATGCAGGACACCATGATGGGCATTCCTGGTAGGTTAAAGGGAACCTCCTAAGACAGGCACAGTCATCTGTCCTGATGCACAAGCACAGGTTTCTTTTTATTAATTTAAGATAGATGTATTGTGGGGGGACCAAAATAGTTCTGTTATAGAATGTCTTGAGGTCTAGTCTATGGTTTCACTAAACAGGAGCAACAGGGAGCTCCAGCCCACTACTGTATTAGTAATTTTGAGCAAGTCTGCTATTGTTCAGCATAGCCTCAGTGTAAGAATGTCTCCTAGTTTGCTACTGAACAAAGCATTTGAATTGGCCTGCACCTTGACAGAGTGGCTAGGTGTGTAAGTAACAAGTGAGGAGAGAAAGTAAGGGCCAGATAGCAGAGAGGAGTCAACAGAAGGACAAAAATTGCCTCCTCTCAGCCATAGAAGCATGCTTAAGAAACAGCCAAGAACATTCTAAATAAACAAGAGACCCTAGTTTTACTGCATGGAACTGAGATCTAGCTAAGATGCCTGTTTTTGCTCTTTATCACCACTGGGTTGCTAAGAGGTTCCAAGCCCATGCTTCTCTAATCAGGTAGAACCTAATGGCTGTGGTGGCTAAGGGCTGAGACAACCCGGGCCACGACAAAAGAGTATCTGAAAAGCATAGACTCTGTAATATGGAAAATCTTGGATTCCAGACTTTCTAATTTTGACCTGACAAATCTTGCAGGGATTTTATTCATATTTCAGAGAGATTCCATCAAAGTTTAAATGATTCAGTTATTTAATGTTATAAGTTTTTTAGCTAGATAAGCCACAAAGTAAATGGAAACTTGTGAAATGAAACTCTTTC